GGCTGCCACACATTTTCAGAGGGGGCCACATTCGCCGTTAAGACATCAGTGTTGAGGGCTGCCACACATTTTCAGAGGGGGCCACATTCGCCGTTAAGACGTCAGTGTTGAGGGCTGCCACACATTTTCAGAGGAGCCCACATTCGCCGTTAAGTCGTCAGTGTTGAGGGCGGCCACACATTTTCAGAGGAGGCCACATTCGCCGTTAATATGTCAGTGTTGAGGGCTGCCACACATTTTCAGAGGGGGCCACATTCGCCGTTAAGACGTCAGTGTTGAGGGCTGCCACACATTTTCAGAGGGGGCCACATTCGCCGTTAAGACGTCAGTGTTGAGGGCTGCCACACATTTTCAGAGGGGGCCACATTCGCCGTTAAGACATCAGTGTTGAGGGCTGCCACACATTTTCAGAGGGGGCCACATTCGCCGTGAAGACATCAGTGTTGAGGGCTGCCACACATTTTCAGAGAGGGCCACATTCACCGTTAAGACATCAGTGTTGAGGGCTGCCACACATTTTCAGAGGGGGCCACATTCGCCGTTAAGACGTCAGTGTTGAGGGCTGCCACACATTTTCAGAGGGGGCCACATTCACCGTTAAGACGTCAGTGTTGAGGGCTGCCACACATTTTCAGAGGGGCCACGTTCGCCGTTAAGACGTCAGTGTTGAGGGCTGCCACACATTTTCAGAGGGGCCACATTCGCCGTTAAGACATCAGTGTTGAGGGCTGCCACACATTTGAAACCGTTGCGTCAGAAGCCACACTAAAGCCACCAGGGGACGCCAGTGGCCCGCGGGCCTTGCAATGACGAACGCTGGTCGACACCGTTGCAGAATCGTCAATCTCCACAAAAAGTAACAAGTTATCACCGAGTGGAATTAATTTGCAGCTCGGGGTGTGTTAAGGGTCTGATGGACGAGGAGGGATGAACACAATACCAACAATCTTATCTAATTTCTTAAAAACAAATCATGAAGCACAAATCAAGGACAACAATTTAACATGAAGACTAAAGCTAGACAGCACATCAGCACTCCGGTTTTGCACACTCCGCTGTAAGTCCACGCAGAGGTCCAGGAGGGATACAACTTCCTTGGAAGCTTCATTTCTTCGAGCACTTTGTTCTGTGACCAGAAAGTAGTGGCAACGACAACCGTACGGGCAGGAGTGGAATGGGTCTCTTGGGTCGTCCCGAAGACGAGCAGGAAGTCCGATGGCCCTCTCCCTGTCAATCGTGGAATCACTCAAGTCTTCTCGCACGGCCTGACGACTTCGGATAACGCTCTCAGCAATTACCACCAACCTCATCCACCACCTCCCATTATAGCTTCTGCTCCACATAGCGTGTCTGGGACAATGAGTAACACTGCTCGTCACTAATAGTTAATACTCTCGGCACGTGCTCGTTCGGTTCCAAACCCCCTGGGTTCAAGGCGTGATTTGTTCATGGACCTGGGTTCAGATGAGTATACTTTTTTTCCCTATCACGGTTGCCAAGTACAGAAACATCACGATTGAAAGTAATATTTAAGGGTGAATATGGTGTCTTGAATTTAGCAAAGCTACCGTAAGAATTCGTGAAAAAGAGACGATGGGAGGGAATTCCAAAGTGCAGCAGCGCTCGAGAAGAAGCAGAAAGAGACGTGTGATATGTCGTGTGGTGATTGAACACAGCGTGGATGAGACGAAACGGTCAGCCAAAGAGATCTGGTTCATGGGAACAATAACCTTAGTCATCGCAACATCAGAGTGATAAGGAGACTGATCACCGGAGAACGAGTGAATCACCCAGTAACACATTCCTGCGGAGGGAGCTGGTAGGAACGTTGGGTTGCTCGGTCAATGGCCAGGGTCAACGGCAGCGTGGTGTATTCCGCAAATATGCCCGACTGTGAGGGCGGGCACAAGCCGGCGTGAGTAGGTTAAACGTTGAGTTTTGTAAGGGCACCATGGGGTGACCAGCCCTCCCCACCCAGCCCCACCCCTCCCACCCCCCACCCAGCCCCACCCTCCCCACCCAGCCCTTCCCCACCCTCCCCTCCCCACCCAGCCCCTCCATCCCCACCCAGCCCCTCCCTGCACGACGGACAAAATAATCCCCTGTGGGCTGGTGTAACTAGGAGGTTCCTACCAGTATACATGTTGTTTACCTTAACAGGTGCTTGTAAACTGCACTTCACCCTCAAACGTCATAGGGGTATTACATAAAACTACGGCGCGAACAATTTAAACCCTTGTGCCATGCACATGCACAGCCGTTGCGTCAATTAACTGCTGGATGAGGGCTTCCCCACGCTGTGTGGCCGCGGAGGTTATCTGACCAAACTTCACGAAGCTGGTCAGTGCGGGTTGATGGCCAGGCACATATAACTACAGTACAACAATGTATTTTAGTCCACTGCCATCTGCTACAAACCACATAGTCCAATCTCGTCAAATATCGGATGCGAAGCATGGTTGAGGCTGGATGGGCGATCTGCATGCATGAAACACGTGCTAGACTAGCTAGAGGCTGCTGCGGAGCTACAGTGTCAGCAGAGGGCAGTGCAGCTGTGGCACAATAGCGACACTCCCCACCTGCGTCAACCCGCACTGACCAGCAGCACCGTCCATAGGGAGGTGCAGGGCCTCCCCTCGATGCCTGCAAACTAAACCGGAAGTATTACATCTGACACCACAACGTCCAAGCGCGGGGCCTCCCAAAGTGTGGGGCCCGGGGCAGTCGCCCGGATTCGCCATACCCTAGGTATGCCTCTGCCGTGTCAAATAACCCATGTGACCTGCTCGGCGGGGGGAGGCCCTCATCCAGCAGCGGATTGACAAAAAGGCTGTGCATGTACACGGGCTTCCATTATCATTGCTCCACAGTATCATTTGTTGATTGAGCAAGGGAGCTTGCACCTTGTCCAGTTTTCCTGGGTGGGTCTCATCAGTAAGTGACGAACCTGGAGGTTGTAAGGCAGACACTGGAGATTACGCTGTCAAATCGTTGTAAATACATACCGTCTTTAATTCTGTAATCTTAGATACACTATACAAACACAATTTAAGCCAACAACAGTTAAATCTGAAAACGCATGATGCAACAAAACAAGCGGCGCTCATGGTCGCAAAATACTTTCATTCGTTGGTAAATAAAACAATCGACAATCCTCGAAATAACCATAAAATCGCAATACACACATGCAGCGTTGCGTGCTGTACATGCGCACAGTCGTGCTCACATACGTGGTTTGCTCGTATTGAGTGCATGTGCCGTCATAGGTGGTTCTGGGGTTGTACGGGGGAGAATGAGAAAATATATGCAATACTATGAAATACATTCTTTGAGAGAATGAAGCCTCAAAACGAAAGGGCATGGTTCATAGTGCAAAAGTTCACCATGAAAACTACTCCTGGTGACCTCGTGCCGTCTCGTTATCGGACATTGTCTCGACTAATAAAATGTGTGTTCGCCGATTACATTAGCCAACTACAATACTCTCCTAGTATTGACCTTGCACTCGGTCCCCCGCTGCGTCAGGCTTCAACAAGCTTGCAGAATTGTCTGCATGCGAATCCCAGTTGTTAGACATAACCACCCACTGCCTATAATATATCCGTGCATCTCAGTGTGTCTGTGTATCGCAGTATGTCCTCGGGAGTGCCTCAGTCTCCCTGTGTCTCCGTATTTCTCCATGTGTTCTTGTGTCCTTGTGTATCCCAATGTCTTCCTATTAGTTGCAGTGTATAGTCATGCATCGGTACCCATAGCATGACTTTATTAACCATGTAATGTTTCGCCTTCCTCGCAATTCCGTGAGCTTTAATGGTCAGGGATTTTGATTCAGTAAAAAATATTGTCAATAAAGTCAAAAAATGCTAAAAGTCCTTTCTTTATCTTAGATCCATGACAGATTTAGGCCATTTTGGTCTAAGAAAACATGTAACCTCCTAATCTGCAAATTTACCGTGGATAAATTAGCCACTTGCGCATTTACCCTGTAATCTGCTAATTATTTGTAGATTAATCGCGTGGCTCTTTTCCCCAAGATTCGTGGCACACTGCGCCGGTGCGAAAATAACTCGTGCATTATTTGCTCTAGCCTCTGCAGTGTGCCGCAAATTACAGGATGCTCATTGATATGGTCCCCCCCCCCTTCCCAACATCAACGTAGATGACTGGATTTCTGCTTTACATTCGGTGTCTCGGAATTAAGGGGAAGCGGTGGTTCACGTATAATGCTATGAACGCGTAGACCGGAGTTCGATTCACAGACATGGCTGTCATCAGTGGCGAGTGATATCTAAACCGGTCCTTGATGCACCTTCCCATTAACCAACTCGAACTGAGCAGTGTGGTGAAATATGATCAAACAACCCCTTTTGGCATCCTCTGGTCTAGCACCATTTGAGACTAAAGAAAGCTGTCTCTGGTGTGGACCAATCAGTTTCAAAGAGTGTGTTTTTTTTTAATTCCGACCACAAGTATTGTGGTTAATGCAAACATGATTCCTTATAAAAAGGTTTCATTTTTGTTGCCAGAAAAAAGGGGGAAAACCTATTCTTATAACCCCATGGTTGACATGGCGCGAGGATGCCATCATCCAGCAGAGGATTGGCTAAAGTCTTTAAACTATTTTTTTTGAAAGAAAAAAAAACAATTCCTATACAGTAGATGCAATTCAATGAATTGATCGTGATTTTAATTGATAAGTTGCATGCCCAATCTTTATGAAATCAATTGAGTCCATTTGTGCCACTGCAAGTCCCACTCCATCCTTCAATTGTCTCTGCTAGTTCTCTATTCAAGTTAAGTTTTTGCATGTCCCAATGTGAACCAGTGTCGAGACTCAGTGTGTCCACGTGTCTGTGTATGCCCATGGCTCGCCGCACATTTCTGCACGAGCCTGTGCATCCCTCTGCATCTCTGCGTGTCCCCGTTCGTCCCTGTGCATCCCTGCATGTCCCCCCCGTTCATCCGTGTCTTGCCGCGCCTTCCTGCGTGTCCCAGTGTGTCTACACCCCACTTGGCTCGGCAGCATTTGTGTCAGTTGTGCTCGTCTCGACCACGGTCGTCTCGACCACGGTCGTCTCGACCACGCTCGTCTCGACGCCGCTCGACTCTGTGCCGCCCGACTCTGCCGATCTCGGCTCAGCCGTGTTGGCCGCGCGCAGTTTTTTCTTGGCCCGAATGTCGTTCATGGCCTCTTCGATGGAGCGCTTGTCTAGCTTGTTCACCGTGGGCACTGCAGGAGGGGGGAAGTGGTACGAACCCAATCATTACAATGCATCTTGCATTTACAAAACGTCTAAATGCCACCGTAATTTCAAGTTGGTGCACAGTATGCACTGCCACAGAGTGACGAATGCTGGATGTTGCTTATATGTGTGAAGTGATGGTGCAGTGGTCAGTGCACTGCGCTACAAATCCTACCCGCCGAGTTCCATTGCCGGCTTTGGCTAACATCAGTGGCGAGTGATATCCAAACCGGTTTGAGCCACTCCTAGGTGAACTTCGCTTTAAAAAGAGTACCTAGTACGGTGTGTACACATCGGCACTGGGGAGACAAAGGCGGCTGGGAATGATGTTAGCCACACCACATCCTCATGTGCCATGTTGGCCTTCATAGGTGCTTGCCAACAGCACTTGCCCCAACAGTCTGTTAAGGCTATATGGGGGATATGTCTTTGCTGTGCAAATGAGACAATCACCACAGCCGTAGGCGACGTTAGCGTGCAGCGTGTGTGCCGCCTGCTCGGCTGACTCCGTGCCGATCAGGTGCCGGTATTTGTCTCGGTAGTTGAGCTGCGGCTCCGGAGCTGCCGTCCCCGGCCCCTCGGCTTTCCCTGCCGCCTCCTCCTCCTCCAGCCGCTTTCGTTCCTGTATACAGACACAAACCCCCCCCCATATTGTCATCAACAGACTGTTGAAGTAAATGTTCTTAGCAAGCACTTGTTAAGACAGGCACAGTGCACGAGGGGTTGGGTGGACAGCATCAAGTCCGGTTTCTTTGCACACCGTGCCAGGTACTCATTTGAGGTTGAGTCGACCTAGGGGAGGCCCAGAACCAGTTCAGATATCCGTCACCAATGATGGCCATGATTGGGAATCGAACTTTCGTCTTTTGGTTCATATCAAAGCGCGCCAACTGCTGCACTACCGCTCCCCACATACCAAGCGCACCAAGACATGCCCCTGGTCACACACGCACTCGCACAATCATGAGTTTTCACCCTCATGTGCTGCTAGTCCCGCATCTCCCCAAGACGACCCATTCTGACTTGCCACCACAGGGCGGCACTCATCTTTTATCCATTGAGGGACGATGACGATTCTAAGAAAGATGACGATCATGAAGGTCACGATGATGACGATGGGTTGTTGACCCACAACCAGGATTTGCGACCTCCGGGTTGCGAGTCAAGTGATCTAACCACAGAGACATATGGCGGACATGTGGGTTGACGGTGCGGGAAGTGAAGGGAGACCTGCAGCTTGAGCTGGTGCAACAGAGGGTCCCATTCTTCTCCCCGTCTGTACGCCTCCAGCTCATCATCACATGGCGCAAACTCCTACAGAAACATCACGATCACCACCATTAACATCACGATCACCATTAACGTCACCACCATCAACATCATTATTTATACCATTTACCAACATCAACACACGATAAGCCACTTCGCTAAGCTAACATTTGTGGCCAGGTCACTTCGGAAAAAGAACTATACAGCTCAGTAGACCTTACCTGGTAAAATAAAAAAGTTTAGTTGAGAACATTCCACCAAGCTCCTGCACACAAGCCAATCTCTTCACTCCATCTCTGTGGTACATGTACTCTCATGCACGTTCCCTCCTTTTGCTGCCACTCCATGTTTGAGTGTCATTAACCAGCCATCATTTCTTCGAGCAACATATCCTCACCAAGCTCATTTAAATTTCGATTTAAAGCTTTCGTGACTGCAGGGATTCATCTTCTTGGTTCTTTCGGTAAAGTTGTAATAGTGTTCCAGGAGACTTGGACGCCGGGGTTGGAGGCACACGTATTTATTATGTGTCGGTACAGCACAACACTGACATACAACACTGAAGGGGGTATCGGCCCCCTCACCCGTCTAACTGGGGATACACTCTCTAGCTACGCCTAGCCTACCTCTGGGTCCTCCACTAACGGGCTAGGGGGGGCTAGCTAGCCCGACACTGGTAAGTCGGGCTCACGGTACCCGGAGTCCCAGACCAGCTCTTACAAGAGCACCGGCTCTGGCTCTCGGGACCACGCCGCTGGCTCGATCTTGTTCGGCCCTGAGAAGGGCGGCGATCCAGGGGAGTCCAGGGCTCTATCTACGACGATCTTCAGTCTTCACTGGTTAGCTTCAACATCTCTCTCTGAGCCCTCCGGCTCATCCCCTTTTATACCAAAACCCCCGCTGAGGGGTGGGGCCCCGGGGATCCCAGCTCCGAGTCAGCCCCCCAGGCTGCCCGATGCGGACGTCGCTGGGAGCACCTTCCCGTGCACCGACATAGCCACGCCCACTGTTTCTTTCCCATCTGATCCCATTGTATAACAGCCCCTCCGTAACACCCCTACAAAGTCACGTAGAAGGGAAATAATAAAATAATAAAAAATTACCATAATAAAATACTATTCTAACGACGTTTCGGCCACAACGCAAGCAGCCGTCCTCAGGTGAAGAACAGGGCTGTCGGAAAGACAGCGTCTGAATGAACACCACCAAGCTTGGCAGCGTATATTTAAGCTGGGTTAGAGGAGGAGAGCGCCTTGACAAAAATAATTTACATATGTGACTTTACCGAAAGAACCAAGAAGACAAGCTCACTTACTCTTCTTTACACTCAATATGGACCGTAAGATCAGCACACAATGGACTACTCTTGCAATTGACGTCACATGATCTTTAACGTGCATTGTGAAGCAGACGGCGTTTACTTTTCTAACAGTTGATACACGAGGAGTAATAAACAGGACGGCCACTGGATTTGAATCATGAACCTCTGCCAAAAGTGGCAAACGTGCTACCGCTGGGCCATGTAACCACTATAATCATAATCACCACCACAATCACAAGTCAAGTCAACATCACCAACACTGCCACCATCATCAGCAGCATTACCACCATCAGTGGGAGTAGCCTGGTTGGCATGGGCCCTTGTGCAAGGCATTAAATGAGGCCTTTCGTTCAATTTCCCCCTCTTCGTAGGCTGGCATCTGGGCCCCTCTGGTCCGTGGGACCCAGTGCAATTGTACCGCCTGCACACCTTCGATTATCACGGTTGCCTACGTATGGTGCAAAGAAGTTCAACATAGCCATGCCACTGGCCACTGCTATGGATGTCGCCACACTCGCGCCACACCTTCTTGAAGACCATGACGTGCCGGCTTTCCTCGTCATCGCCAAATGAGAATGAAGCCAGCCCCGCAACCTCCGCCACATCGTGCCTGCATGTGCAGGGAGACGAGAAGATATTTGATGACACGTGGGGATGTATGAAGACGTGCAGGAAAACATGAAAGACACGGGGACACTTTGGAATGCATGAGAAACACAAGGGAACAGGTGGGAAAGTATGAAATTTTGCGCACGTAAAAAAAGTAGGTACACGTGAAACACCACTGCGTACAAATGGGACACACGGTCACACTCGGTGACAATCAGAAATGCACGGAGCCAAAGGGGACATTTGATCATGTGTGGAGGGTCATATGGAGACACAACGGGACACACAGGCACAAAGTGGGGATGCACGGGAATTCACAGGGGATAGATAGAGGCACACAGGAATGCACAGGATGTGAAGGAACACAACAATACACAGGAACACACAAGGATATAGAGGGAAACCGGCATACATATGTATGCACGGAGATGCAGGAAAATGCACAGGGATACTCATTGAAATCAGGAGACGAACAAGGATATGTTTTGTGTACGGTGCAATGCGTACAGTATGCTGCGCTCCAGCTTTCCCATTGGCTCAAAGCGTTTCTTCTTCTCAGAGCTGTCCTTTATGAAGGCAGTCACTCGTGCCTCCATCTAACCCAGACAGAGACACAGAAAAAAAAAGGTAAACACACAGACAAGAAGAAACAGAGAAAGGCATGACAATGGAAGGAAGAGACACACAGAGAGGCACAGACAGAGAGGGTGAGACACTTAACACAAAGGGGCACAACATGAGAGAAGAGTAGACACATCAATAAAAGATGTTGAGAGAAAAGGAAAAATAATTGGATAAGGGGAAAGCACAGGTGGGTCACAGAGGGAGGGACCAACAGTGAGAAAAAGGCACAGGGAAAAAAAAATTGAGATAAGGAGAAAGAAACAGGAAGAGAGAGAGAGAGGCAAAGAGAAAGGGAAGGATAGACAGATATGAGTACACAATAATAGTATGGTAATCTAATTAACAGGATGTTGTGTAAGAGACACCAGGCTGGCTCCTCCCACACGTTACGACTAAATAATTGGCCGATAACACCTTAATATACAGGGGACTACAGAAGTTTGGGGGGGGGGGGGATTTGTCACTGGCCGAATTTACTGGTTGTCTATGGTTCCTCACACCTCAGAGTCGTTCTCTCTCTTCGAGAGTGAGCATGTTACAAGTTTAAACGATTATTCAATCAGATCCTCAAGTCTAGTACATTCATGTTATCATCCTGGTCACCAATGACTGCACAAAAACCCACCATATTAAATTAAAGTTGAACTTAGTCCATTTTATTTCAACTCAGAAAATAAAAAAAATGTTTGTTTATTTGATATGCAACTAATACTATTTGTGGGGCATAAAATGGAGCCCCAAGTATGGATAAACCTTTTTCGATGTATGTGTGTTGTCACTATTAGATGCAAATATAGAGCTTATGTGTACTTCTAAATAGCATTTTCATATAACAATTGCACTATTTTAACTTGTGTGTATTTCGTTAACGAAAGTCAAATACTTTGATCGTTAGTTGTGCAATATTCCTTAAGGATCCTGTATTTATTCTCTGTAATATTGAGCTTTTGTTTTTGTTGTTGCTGTGCTCACACATTGCACGATGGATCTCCCTTGTAAAATAGCCAGGAAATTGGTTAAATGGGATTACCTGTGTAACACATTACAATAAACTTAAAGCTTAAGAGGCGATTCAGAAGTAATTCGGGGTAATCTTCCAGAGCTAATCTCCGACACAACATAGTAACACTGTGAGAATACCTTCATCTCAGGACATGTTATAGATAGAGAAATTGGAATTTTACTGGCATGAAAAGCAACTTAAAAACAAAACATGAAATAGAAATGACCTAATGAGCTCTTATCTATTCGCTGCAAGATGAAGGCCTTCCCACATTCCTTCATTGTCCGCAATGCTACAATACAATTCGCTCCTGCACATGAGCTAATGTCATTTCTCCAACTCCTCGATGGTCGGTTGCCATTCGATCACCAACCTCCACCATCGGCCAGCATCCCTTCAGTGTAAGCTTTCCACAACTATATTCTTGAGAGTCCATATGGATTTCGAAAGAACCAAGAAGATGAGTCCATATGGACTCTTATTCTCTTTTGTTCTCTGATCCATGTGTTCCTCTTCTGTCTCTCAGTGCAATTCCAAGCATCCACATCCCCAATGCTTCTTTGCGCACTTTTATCTCACACATGGAAAAATATTGATGAAATATGAGTGGGGCAGTACCACAGTGGTTAGTTCACTACGCAATGAATCTGGTGACCTCGGTTAGATTTCCGGCTGACATAAGAGGCAAGTGATAATTATTTGAACTGGTCTTGGGCAATTCCTTCCCCAATCTGCATTGACCAGCGACAGAAAGTATGGTGGTCAAGGTCGAACATAGCAGGGGAGATCTTACTCGAGCAGTTGACTGTCAAAGGGATGTAAATGTGTTTGTCTTAAAGATGCCTGCACAAGCCCCTGCCTGTCTCCCCTCTTCGTATCCTGGTGCATGGGCCCTTCCAGCCCATGGGCCCCAGTGCAATAGCAACCCCTTCGCACTGTTCTATGCCACTATCTGGTGCGCAAGTGAACTAGTACACACACCTGTTTCCTGAACTCTGCCTTGTGTTTCCTCTCCTGATCTTGAAGGGTCTGTAGACGGGCTGCCTGTTCTGCGAACCCAACAAACGGATCACCACCACCGGCACAACAATCACCACGACACGAACCCACAATTACACCACAAACAACAAGACCAACACCACCCCAACCACCACATACAACAATACCAACACAACCAAACCTCCAATGCCCCTAACACAACAAAAGCACCAGAAACACAGAGACACGTGGGATTAAACTTGCAAGACTCAGGACTAACATAACAAATCAGAGTGTGGAAAAGTGTAACTCTGAAAAAACGCAATTGAATTTGAAATTATTTGATTTGTTACACGGATGATCCGTTTAAGGCATGTTGCGCACGAGATGAGGTAATTGATTTGGAGTAACCAAAACACCCTCGCCCCCAGTGCCTGACCACCCGTAGCAACAAGTTACAGAACTCTCGACACAGAGACGAATGTGAGAGAAGCGAAACCCGTTCCAACACTCCCCCCACCCCCATCGCTACAATGGTTTTCCCTGCCAGGTCGTGCGCCTCGCCCGGCCGCAGCGTCCAGGCAAGAGCGTAGGCACCGCGGAAAGCTAGGCCGCGCGCACAGCGACCCCGCGAACGCCGGCGCTGAGGAGCGCAGGAGTGGGTGTGGGAGGTGGAGTCCGCCACGGGGAGATACCTCGGCTTTCTTGCGCGACTCCTTGTCGCCCACACTGGGCGGCTTCTCCATGGAGCTCAGGATGGAGCCGAGCAGATCCATGCTTGCAGGGAGCCCGGGCAGTGGGGGAGGACTGCTCCGCTGAACCTAAGGAACAGAACGTGGATCGATTCCTACTTTTGCGAATCGACGGTGGTCAGTTTCGGTTAGGGAATCGATTCGATTTGGCAGTTTTCAGTTCAGAGTCCGTTATTAAATGTTGATTTGAAGTTTTCGTGGTTCTTTCGGTAAAGTCACGTAGGTATGAAATAAAATAAATTAAATCACGACGTTTCGGGCGCAATACAAGCGTCCGTCATCAGGTGGGACAACCACAGCAAGAAACAATTGCTGAAGTGGGCACTTGCCCACTGGTGACGGACGCTTCTGATATTTAACTATGTTGAGACTAGATGAATGTATCATACCTGTCAACCCCATACGGTTTACCCCGTATTCTTGTACAGTACCGGTAAATTTAGTGTTTAGGTCCATACGGCGTACAGCCGTTTCAATACGGGCAAAAACAATGTCGGTCTGTTTGTGTTTCTACCTTGTGATTGGACTTTGTAGGATGAACATTGAGATGTATAAGGGCACGGGGTGACCAATAAGGTCTGAATTGGTCAGTAATAAGGTAGGTACTGATGGTGGGTTAACAGGTCTATGATGTATGTATGTTGGACTTATTTCGCACCGTACGTAGCCAATCGTGCTAATGGAGGTGCGTGGGGAATGACAAACTAAATCCGATGATCTATGAAGCTCTTTTTAAACAATTGCAAGTAGGGACAGGGCCAACCTCTTACCACGGCATCTCTCTCCCACTTCAGCAAAACAAATCTTGCTGTGGTTTTCCCACCTGATGATGATTGCTTGTGTTGCAATCGAAACGTCGTGATTTAATTTATTTTATTTTATACCTACGTGACTTTACCGAAAGAACCAAAGAGTATGGATCCCTGCAGTCACGAAAACTTCAAATATAGATGACAAAGACCGATAGGAGTGTAAAATACAAAAGAGGTAAGCGAGTTACTATAAATAACAATACATTGCTGTTGGTTTCTTGCAACCGAGAGAGGAGAACGATCAAGAGGCAAAGTTGAGTCTCGTTTGGAAGAGTGATCTGGAGGTCATCCAAAGGCAAAACAAATGAAGTATCTTTGATTTAAATCTTTCGTGACTGCAGGGATTCATATTCTTGTGTTTTTCGGTAAAATCACGTAGAAGGGAAAAAAAAAATCTTGCTGTGGATTTCACACCTGATGATGATTGCTTGTGTTGCAGTCGAAACGTCGTGAGAATTTGTATTGTTTTATATTTTTATTATTTTATTATTTCCCTTCTACGTGACTTTACCGAAAGAACCAAGAAAAATTAAGTATCGTAAAATAAAGCAAAAGCAGACACACTTGAGTGCAAGAACAACTGCTTTGCATGAAAAATCGTGCACAAAGCGTAAACTTGTTTAACAATACAATTCCCCGCCAGCAGAATTCAGCTTGGGCGGATTTTTTTTCAGACGGATCATAATTAAGTTACACAATGAAGGTATGGAAAAGTTGAACAAGATATAGGCGTGACTATCGAATTGATGTGTAAAGAAATAACGATTCGTTGATTCGGTTTGAGTTTAGGTTCACCAGGTGAGAAGAGCGCAAGACCTGGGTCACCAACATGACAAAAGGGATAAAGTGAAAACATGTACATGTACAACGGTGCAGCAAATAGAAATTAGAGCCAAAACAACCAAACAAAAATGAACACGAAACAAAACTCTACACACTCGCCATTAACACCGCTGAAAACGGAGTCTGCGAAATGGCCCTTCTTCATAGCACATATAATTTAGATCAATTATCACTGGTAGAACTCTAACACAATAATTTAAATTTTCGCAAAAAAGTTGCATCATCATATATTTTTTAAATATAACTGACGCTGTTAGCAGGGATATACATATTAATAGCTATATTTCCGTTCACAATGCATTCACTGAATTATATAGATTAAAATCTATGTTCAGAAATGTTTCGCAATGTATATATTTACAAATGTACAGAGTTGGGGAACATGGATAGAGAACGCGGGCGTCAATGTACAACAGCCGTGCCCGTAGAGGCGGGGCCCGTGTTGGGGGAGTGGCGTGAGAGGGGGCGGGGCTACAGCTGGAGGGGCGTGGCTAGGCCTGAAGGGGGCGGGGCTATGCAGCTGAGCGTCGTCACGTGGGCCGGGAGACTTTTATGTGACGTCACAAACCTAAATTGGTGACGACAACCTGGAGAGCGTTTGGGCCACCACGACGGCTGCGAGCAGCAAAATCGAGTCTCCCAAACTTCAAGAGATTGTTTCTTCTCGACGCAAGGTAATAATATCGTATGTATTTATTTATTAAGGAAAACATAAATCTATGATATATACCAAAAATTACAAGTATCGGACGTTTCGGTCGCAACACAGGCGGCCGTCTTCAGGTGAGAAAAATGTACTGCTGTTGTGGCTTTATATGGGCACGGGAGGGGGTGACGGGTGGGGGCAAGGCTAGCTTACTGCAAACAATCTCCGTTTCGTTTAGCGAGTTCAACATAGGTGCCACTATCTCGCCCTATCGGTTCTGAAGTGCTCTGTGATATCAGATGCTATACAGGCAGTTCCTCCTGCCACCTTTGACATATGTAGCAAAACGAGACCCTGCCCAGTCCGCATAGACCACGCATTGGAAGAGATCCCATACTTTAGGTACATGGGGCTCGAAGTAGAATATCTTACGGTCCCGCGTACTGTTCACCAGCTGGACCTGGTCGTCCTCCCTATGCTCAAACTCACTTGGCGGAGGAAACGTACGCCTGGAGTCATCACTGGGCGGACGTTCTTGGTAATCACATCATACTGTTTGACATTGGTACACCGGGACTACATAGACCCTTCCGATGTATGAGGTCACTAAAGTTAGCGGAGTTTTTAAAATCCCCGTCATTGATAATCGTCCCGGCCCTTCAAGCATCGCTGATATCACGGCAGGCGAACGCCGGCTCTAGCAGCCGATTCGGTTACTGCTTCTGGCGGCATTCTCATCATGAGGTAAAAACCCCGGCGCGTCGGGAATAGGTGGTAATTTTCTATGCAACCCGTTGTGCGCCCGGGCTTCGCAGATATCAGCATGCTAAGTGAAAGCTAAGTAAACTGGGTATCTGTTTCATTCCGTATACAAGCGACCCCTTTCCCGGTGAAGAAGGATCCGACGAATGGTGTGTTCAATCGCTATACGTGTCCGGAGGGGACGACGGGGCAATTACCTACACATACAGGAGGGTTTGGGCATCAGACGACGGGACTCAGCAATGTTCAGTGTATAGTGTGGTCAGCTGTGCAAGACAGAGGGAGAGGACGGTTGCTACCACGAATTTACATACCGGTAGTACAGCGTAGAGTACCCGTAGACGAAAACGGCAAGCGAGGCAGACACCGGGACTGTTTCACTGGTAGCGATACGCATTATACCTCACCCTTTTAGTCGGGGGTGGACTCCATCCAGGCGTCGCCCTCGCTGGGCGAGATTGATACCGTGTCGACTCAAACGTATGGGTTTAGATATGGGTACGTGGTGCGACGCTGAATAGGAGTATTATTATCCGACTGCCTCGCAGGTGGACTTGTCCGCTACTCAACCGGCCAAGGATTGTGAAACGCAGGTGTGAGGAGGAGAAAAGGTATTCAGTGATGCAAGTCAGGTGCGGGCTTGTTAGGAACATAGACGTCTTAACCTCTTTATGAGGTGTGTTCTGGCTACACTTCAGGGGGTTCGGGGTGAACAGGAGTCGCTGCGGGTAGGTTAATTGTAGCCGGGAAGACGTCATTGTCTCCTACAGATTCTAAGCTAGTCGCATACCTTACGACTCCTCGTCCGCGCCATTCCCGGCGTCCGGATACCTAATGCGGGGTCCGGGATGTGTACCAAGCGCCGATAGTAGCAAGTAAATAAGTGGACACGGCGGGAGGAGTGGTATGGTAAGTATAATTCCCCGTGCTTCGTACTGAGCACTCAGCCGTGTTACCTTCATCAACCCAGACATACCCGGAACTGGCCAATGTATACCGGACAATGCAGGTCGACTGGTTGGAAAACTGGAGGAATGAGTGACCAAGCAGAACCGGGCCTCCTTTGTAAAAAGTCACGTAGAACTCGCGGCACGCTGTTCGGCTTACGCCTATTCCGTAGAGGGTATGCGTTCGATTATATTTTACATCAAGCGACTCCAACTATGACCCCATATCTCATGTAAGAGACCACTTCTGATAGTTTAATTCACTCTAAAGTGGCCACGATGCTGCTAAGTCAAAACCGCAGGTTTTTACTCTCATTGAGCCCTCATCAGGAAAGCGGTTGTCACCAGACGTCGCATCCCCTAGGCTATCTTGCTTGCTTCGGAGGCTACTTATCTATGTCCATCAACAAGACCCGTGTTATTCGAGGTATACGAACACGTCTAGCGTCAAGTTCGGATATTCTTGCGGCCAGGCGTGTATAGGAGCAATTACTATTGTTGCCTAGCGACGTTGGGAAACACGTACAGGAAAACAAGTCGCCTACGGTACCCCAAATCCGACATAACACTGGGTGGTTTTTTCTTTCAGTTTGGCTTTTAGAATTCTGTACGGGTCATCTGAGTGTTTACATATGCGTCAGAACACTGAGCACTACGAGCAGTTCTCAACAGAGGAATGTCGCGTCTCTTGCGGCCACCCAGTAACTGTGGACAGTGTGACCGAGGTTGGTTAATTTCGGGCACAAACGGCAGGTATAGTTTACAACTTCAAGGAAGTGTCTCAAAGATGAAAGTCTTGTTTGATTGCCTTTAAGGTAACAGTAGAATCTAGGGGGCGTTTTTCACAAAAGCAGAACTCATATTGAACCATGGGCGGATTCTTACCACAGTTTTGTAGGCCCTCAGTGATCTAGGGCGCACCCTTCTGATTAAATTCTTGCCTAGTATAAAGATGACTCAACCAGGGGCGCTCGTTACTAAGTGTAGAGAAATACACGAGTACCCCGAGGCCAC